GGACTCGGGTGCGAATGGTCATATGACAGGTGAGGCCCATCATTTCACCTCTTTTGACGAGTAGTGACATACTCAAGTTCAGTTAGCAGATGGTACATATGCCCCTATTGTTAGTAAGGGTACAATTCGCCTCCCAGATGACTTTACATTACGTTCGGTATTTCATGCGCCAAAGCTGACCATGAATCTATTATCTGTACATCAGTTAGCCAGAGATTTTTACTGTGCAATTGTGTTCTTATTTGATTCGTGTTATTTGCAGGACTTGAGTACTAGGAGGATTATTATCAGGGGACATGAGAGAGATGGACTGTATTATCTAGGCGATTCACCTCCGGTTTCACCAGTTTCTCCACCTTCACTTTCATCACTTGTTTTGTTTTTATCTGTTCCTAGCTTGCATGCTAGTATTTTACCTAATACTTATCGTTATGATTTTTCATCACAAACTGTTCAGTTGTGGCATGACCGTTTTGGGCATACAAATTTTAAATATTTATTTATGTTATTTCCTGCTTTGAGCAAAGCTTATGTAAGTGTGAAACTTAAATGTGTTATTTGTTCTCTATCAAAATATGTTCGGACTAGTTATATTCCTCGCATGCATCAGTCACCCAAACCATTTGACCTAATACACTCTGATATTTGGGGACTTTCTCCTGTTACTGTTTTGTCAGGTGTTCGATATTATGTGACATTTATAGATGATCATACCCGTTGTACTTGGGTCTACTTTTTGCATAGAAAGTCGGATGTACTCTCTGTCATCACTCAATTTCTCCAGATGATTAAGACACAATTCAATGTCATTGTTCATGCTCTTCGTTCGGATAATGCCAAAGAATATGTGTCTGATGCCTTAGTGTCTGACCTTTCTTCTCAGGGTATCTTTCAGCAGCTCACTTGTCCATATACTTCTGAACAAAATAGAGTTGCTGAAAGGAAAAATAGGAGTCTGATAGGGATGGTATGTTGTATGCTTAGAGGTATGGGGGTACCAAAATCTTATTAGCATTTTGCTATTTTAACTTTTACCTTTTTGTGTAATCGTACACCGAGTCGTGTTCTTCAGTATAAGGTTCCCTTATAAGTTTTATTCCCTGAGCGAACACTTTCTCCGATCCCCCCTCGTATTTTTGGCTGCACATGTTTTGTTTAGGATCGGTCTCCTACTCGCCATAAACTTGATGATAAAGCGATTTGTTATGTCTTTGTGGGTTATTGTCATCAGTCTAAGGGGTATCGGTGTTATGATCCTATTAGGCAACGTATGTATCACAGTCTAGATGTTACCTTCCTTCAGCATATTCCTTATTTTTCTTCCAGTCCTGTGTCTGCCCCTCCAGTTGATGATACTCCTTTTGATTTTTCGTTACCACAAGAGCCAGAACCATTGGTCACTATCACTACAGAGTTATTAGTCTTTTCTCCTCCAGAGCCATTCATCCCTGTCAGTATAGAGGTACCAATCTCTCTTCCTTTGTAGGTTTATGTTCGTCGCCCTCGTTCTCATCCCTCTGCTGATGTCTCCTCTACCTCAGGCAATGCAGGTAATATTTCTCAGTTCATTGAGCATATTGATGCACCTATTGTTAATACTGATGAGATTGCAGGTACTGAGCCAGTTACTTTGTCTGATGAGACGTTGTCAGTGGATGATGATGATTTAGGACGTCGTTATCCGCAGCGTGATCGTCGTCCAGTTGTTCGTTATGGTTGGACTGCTAGGACTTTATAGCTGATCTCTGCTTATGTTTCTTATGATGATTTGTCTCCTACATTTCGAGCTTATAGTATGGCCTTATCAGATACGTCAGTTCCTCGCTCTGTTTCAGAGGCTATGTAGGAGCCCTAGTGGGTTATTGCCATCCAGACGGAGATGGACGTTCTTCAACGTAATCATATGTGGGATCTTGTCTTTTTACCTTCAGGGGTGAAGCCTGTTGATTGTCGCTGAGTTTTCACCCTGAAGTTTCTTGCAGATGGTACTATTAATGGTTACAAGGCTAGGCTTATCGCGAAAGGATTTACTTAGGTACCAGGTTGTGATTTTGGTGCTATCTTTGCCCCTGTGGCAAGATTGACTACTGTTCGATTGATTATTTTTTTGGCTGCGGAGTACTTTTGGCCTTTTTATCAGTTGGATGTGAAGAATGCATTTTTCACGGTGATTTGGATGAGATTATTTATATAGATGCATCACCGGGCTTTCATGGTGAGGGGGAGTATGCTAGAAAAGTATGTTGACTGCGTAAGTCTCTATATGGACTGAATAGTCACCACGAGCCTGATTCTCTCGCTTTAGTGGTGTAGTTGTACGTTTAGGGTTCACTAGATGTTATTCTGATCATACCTGCTTGAATCGATAGAATACTTCTGGACAGTGTCATTCTTTTGGTATATATTAATGATATTATTATTACTGGAGATGATGTTTCTGGGACTGCGCAGGTCAAGGTAGATCTTGGAAAGGCATTCGATGTGAAGGACCTTGGTTTTTTGCGATACTTTCTTGGAATTGAGGTTATCCGTAGCGGCAGGGGTATTGTTCTTTTTCAGAGAAAGTATGTCCTGGATCTTTTCTCAGACACTGGGATGCTGGGGTGCAAACTGACATCATCACCCATGATTCCAAACCTGAAGCTTACTGCTGATGATGAGGAACTGAGAGATCCGACTGTCTATCAGAGGTTGGTAGGTAGACTTATCTATCTAGCCAACACCAGGCCAGACATTTCATTTGTTGTCAGCCGAGTTAGTTAGTTCTTGTACAGGCCGTGTCAGCTTCATCTTGATGCAGTTTATTATATTCTTCGGTACCTCAAGTCTTGTCCTAGACTTGGGTTGTTCTATGCATCAAGATCTCAGATTGGTTCTCTAGCCTGTTATTCAGATTCAAATTATGGGGGAGCAGGTGACGGTCGATCCACTACGGACTTCTATGTTTTTCGAGGGACTCATCTTATTTCTTAGAAGAGCAAGAAGCGGGCAGTTATCTCTCGTTCGTCAGCAGAGGCGGAGTATCGGGCACTGGCGCTTGGCACATGTGAGATTATTTGATTATGATCGATTCTTGGCGAGTTGGGATTTCTAGTGACTTCTTCATCTACATTATATTGTGATAATCGATCTGATATTCAGCTTGCTTCTGACTCTGTATTGCATGAGAGGACAAAACATATAAAGATTGATGTTCACTTTCTTCGGGAGAAGGTTTGTTGTGGTATTGCCACTCCATTGTTTGTGGGGATCAGTGATCAGGTTGCAGATGTTTTCACCAAATCTGTCAGTCTATCCATTCCCCAGGACTCAGTTGTCAAGCTTGGTTTAGTTAATATTTTTGCTCCTACCTTGAGGGGGAGTGTTGGAGTATAGTTTAGTTTATTAGGATTTTTTTTCCCTTTTTTACCCTTATTATGACTTTTATATTTTGCCTAGAATACAAGGATGTTTAGGTCACTTTGTATTATTATTTGACCATATATATGGGGCTCTACTCTTAGTTTGAGTATCCCATGCAATCACAAATATTTCTAGTATCTTCAATAATCTTTGCTCCAAATAGGGTATTTTTTATCATTATGCTCCAGCTTGAGTGGGAGCATTAGAGTTTTCAATCTCTTTCTCTTTCTCCTAAACTTAAAACCCTAATACTTAATTATTTGAGTTTCAATTGTTAACATTCAAACAAAGACAAGAAAGTCCAATAACCGGGGCAAAGCTATTTTTTTTTCCTAGTGAGCTCTTTTAAGAATTTTCTGGCTATATCAACTTTAGTCGATTGCCCGAAGATGCCCGGATACTTTTTTGTTAGCAATATATAAAATCTTCATAAATCAACTTTCTTGCATTAAATAACTATGTTCTCGATTACTTTGATGAAATTATCTCAACATTTTCAAATTGAAAGTGATAAAAATGAAGGTAGATGCCTCAATGGTATTTTTAGTTCAGGTGCACAACTTGAAACTAATTGGTAATTAGTGGGGATGTTTACGGGGTTCATATTCTAGTTTGGGAGCTGTTAAATACCATTACTGGCTAAACTTTAATACTTGTAGTACATGTGACCTCCACTTGCACATGGAGAGATTGATAAAAGATAGCAATGATCAGACTATAAAAAAGTGCATTTGTCGAACAAACAAATGATAAACTAGTTAATCATGTGCCCTTAATTACTCCCAAAGCTAAAGCTAGTTAAGTGGGTACAACCTAGATACTTGTGCACTTCATAACATGCACTCATGTGTAGGCTAGACTTTGGGACACACGTGCACATACTATAATCGCACATACTATAATTGTAAGAGTGATTACAAAATTTGAATGCAGGGCATTCCTTTATTTTTTATCAATCGAAGTTGGAATGGCATTGTGAGTTGTGGCGTTTAGTGTTGGTCGTGCACTTGTGTAATTTCTTTAGCTTCTTCTAAGAGTGGATTTCTTGTCCACTATCTCTGTAGACCTCACTTAAATTCATAAATTTTCTCCGAAAAAAGGAATGCCAGACATTCTGTTTGCTTAACCAATGTGAAATTGCTATGCCGGACTTATCATGTGAAAATGACACTTTGCCTCAATTATTTTGTATTCATAAGATTTGTTTACCTATTTTCTATTTCATGTGTGGTAACACTGTCAGGAATATATTTATCTTGTGGATGTGTTAGTGGGTAAACTGTATAAGGATAACTATTTGTTGATCGATATGAACTATTTCGTATGTATACCTATATTTTGTTGATGTTCCAGTGGATAAGATCTTTGTTTGCTTAACAGATTTGAAATAAATGTAATCAAGTTATCATCTGAATGATAATTGTTTTTAAGATTTTAGGAGCTTCTTAATTACTTTGAACTCAAAAGGGTTTTTTTTTTCCTTATTTTATCATTTATGTTTTGTGGAAGTTATATTTATTATATGTATTTTCTTGATGTTCCAGTGGGTAAAATGCTTACATTTGACCGATTTATACCACTTTCATGATATGATTGATATGCTTGTTGGATGTGGGTACAAGAAAGGAACCACATTGTTTGGATATGGCTATGATTTCCGGCAAAGCAATAGGTAATTCATTTGCACCAGCTGAAATTTCTAGTGCTTGAAATTCACTTACTTTGATCTTTAAGTAAAGCCGCTGGTAAGCAAAGGTTGCTCACCTGATACAACAATATTGTTTTCAGAGTTTCCTGGCGTTCGTTTCTTGTGAAACTGCATTAATCTGAGCACCCTGTTTGTTGTGGGGTTGCAGAATTGACAAGGCGCTCAATGGCCTTAAAGAAAAGTTGGAGATTGCCTATAAAGCTTCTGGGGGAAGAAAAGTCAATATAATTTCACACTCAATGGGTGGATTGCTACTGTCATGTTTCATGTCACTCCATAACGATGTGTGCATAACTTCTCCTGGTGACTTGTTGAATTATTGAACTATGGAGATTTGTGCCATAAGAAGCATCATGACCAGTGATGTAAACCGTTCATTGGCAGGTATTTGCTGAGTACGTGAATAAGTGGATTAGCATTGCGTGCCCTTTTCAAGGTAATATTCTCTGCACCATGTTTGCATACTTGCTATTCATTTCTAGTTTGGAGTAAGAACATTATTTTGCTCTAAAATGTTGTTTGCCTAATTCAGTGTAGCCAGGAAAGCATGCATGGTATTATAAGAGAACATTGGTTTGCAATTGATTTTGGTTGCTGTTAATCACAAACCAATACAATAGTTTGCATGGAAGAGGTTATGTTGGAGTGAGAGTGCCATAAAAATCATCTTTTTTCTTCGCGTTATTGTTGTAATCATTTTCCCGTCATTTTTTCAAGGAGTCAGAATGCAGGGGTGTTCTGCTGGCGGAATAATGAACAGAAAAAGAGTTGTTCACTTCCATTTTGGGAAAGTCAGTCAGAAAACTTTTCTGAAAGCTGAAAGTTCTGGAATTAACGAATAATACATATTTGATGATTAAGTTTACTCTCATTTCCTTTAGTATTCTTCATTTGTTTTATTTAGAAGACCAGAAAACTAAATGTTACAAGGCATCCAGTGATGCTTTATGGTGCTTACACGGAGACCTTGCAGCATGATTGGTGTTAAGAGTGCTTATATCCCACATTGAATAATTAGGACCGCCAAAGTTAGTTTATATACTTGAGGGGCTGCTCCACTCATAGCCAATTGGGTTTGAGTTGAATGCTCTACCATGGTATCAGAGCTGGGCCTTGGGTGGTGAGTAGACCAAATTTATTACCCATTTGAATTTTCCAGTATACATGATTGTTTGTTTCTTCATTTGTTAACCCCAAGGTTGAGACCGAGTCCCACGTGAGGGAGGGTTTTAAGAGAGCTTGTATTCCACATCGAATAATTAAGACTATTAAGGTTGGTGTATGTACTCGAGGGGCCACTCCACCCATTACCAATTGATTTTGGGTTGTATGCCCTAACAATTGAAACTACCACATTGTGCATTGGAACTTGTAGAGTTGTTATGCAGTTTAAAATGTGCAAAGTTTACTAGTGAAAAATTTCAGTGCATATGGTAGGTTTTTCGGTTGTTTTCTGTCTCAATAGTATGTTAATGCACACAAGCACATTAATTCAAGTAATTCTCAATTAAAATTGATATGATCATAATGAACAGAAAGTGGTACAGGAATGCATATGAATTTGTCTTCTAATATCCTTTGCATTAGTTAGCAAAAGTAGTTCCACAGTGTGGCTTGGAGGATTCCGTTGCACATTTTAAGCTTTTTGGTGTTTTCAGTTGTCATTTGTTTATCTTTGTGTGTTGTAACTCTCAGACACCTATTCTTATGTATGCCAAATAGGCTCACCAGGATGCATCAATGATTCTCTCTTAACTGGATTGCAATTTGTTGAAGGATTCGAAAGCTACTTTTTTGTGTCAAGGTGGACGATGCATCAATTGGTAATTCTTCTAATCAAAGTAGTTTTGATATGAAGCAAAGGCGTATAACAAACTGCAACTAGGATGGGGTCTAGAAGGCTAATAACACGTGTCTTCTAGTTCTTGCTTGTGCTTCATTCTTCTAATTGTATTTGTCAGCCTGTCTTTTTGTGTTAATAAAAAGGATGTCACATTCTTCATGCTTGTTCTTCTTCCTCGGTTTAATGAATGAGGCTTTTTTTTGAATAAAAAATTATAAGCATGCGTTCAAAAGGGTTTACCCCTATGTCTGATCAATGATTGATAAAGCTTCAATTATACCCACATATGTGACATGTGGGAATAATTGAAAATCTGAACTGCTTTAATGAGTGATGATATTGGTTTAGAAGAATGTGAGTTGAGAGCTTGTAAGTAATCTTACGTTATTAAGCACGGGCTAATTAGACAGTTGCAAATTTAAATGGGAGTAGGAACCACGCTGTCCATCTTTCTCCTTGACACCAGCTTCTTTAATGGAAAACAGAACCAGCAGATCTTGAGGTAGACAAGTATTAAAATGGCGCTGCAAAATAGTAATTATTTGAAAACAAAATAATGGGAAGAGAATGTGTTGCATTCATTTGATAAAGTGAAGCAAGCTGATAAAACTGCATTGTCAATTTGGAATTCGTAACCTAAGGTCATCAGAGAGTGCCTTAAGTTATATAAAGCCCTCTTGAAGGTTGGTAGAAGTGAAATTCCAATTTTAGTCTACTTTGTTTGATCAATAGGTTGAATGTTGGACTATCTGATTTTATTTCATCACATTGCATGCTGTAAGTTATCAAATCTGACACTGTAGCACTGTCTTCATCAAATTAGACAGTGTGTGTGACTACCCTTTATTTGTCTGTTTCATTGTGAATGACTTAAATCCAATTACATGTGTAGTTGGTTGAGTGCCCATCAATATATGAAATGTTGCCAAACCCTGAATTCAAGTGGAAAAAGCAGCCTCAAATTCATGTATGGAGAAAGCAATCTAATGATGGGGAAGTCTCAGTCAAATTGGAATCATATGGCCCAAATGAAAGTGTTACTCTTTTTGAAGAAGCATTGAGGAATAATGAGGTACTGCCTATTAACGTTGTCCAGTTGCGAAACTCAACAAGTTTCCACAGTGATGGTTTGGTGTTTCTTGTTGTTCATATTATATTATTAGTAGTGTAGGGAAATATTGTAATTCTCATAATATTAGTTTACTATAAATGAGAGCGTGTAGGGCAGCATAGCTTACACAACAGTTTATTCCCTTCCTTCTCTTTTTTTTCTTGCATCTTCTCTTCTTTTTTACGAATCCTAACACTGTATCTAAAATTTAAACTTGGTATCAGAGCACTAATTCAACACCCAATATTATCAAAAAAACATTATAGAACACTGTAGTTTTTTTCCGTGCTTGCTGACGACCCTAACAGGGATGACATCATGCTGACATCATCATTGTACGGACACCAGGCACCAACCCCAGGCTCGAACTTCTATGGTGATCATTGTGGTGATTTTTTTTTTTTTTTTTGAAAACATCTAAACAGGGTTTGCTATTTTTGAATGTCATTTATAGAAGCATTGAGGAATAATGAGGTACTGCCTATTAACGTTGTCCAGTTGCGAAACTCAACAAGTTTCCACAGTGATGGTTTGGTGTTTCTTGTTGTTCATATTATATTATTAGTAGTGTAGGGAAATATTGTAATTCTCATAATATTAGTTTACTATAAATGAGAGCGTGTAGGGCAGCATAGCTTACGCAACAGTTTATTCCCTTCCTTCTCTTTTTTTTCTTGCATCTTCTCTTCTTTTTTACGAATCCTAACACTGTATCTAAAATTTAAACTTGGTATCAGAGCACTAATTCAACACCCAATATTATCAAAAAAACATTATAGAACACTGTAGTTTTTTTCCGTGCTTGCTGACGACCCTAACAGGAATGACATCATGCTGACATCATCATTGTACGGACACCAGGCACCAACCCCAGGCTCGAACTTCTATGGTGATCATTGTGGTGATTTTTTTTTTTTTAATTTTTTTGAAAACATCTAAACAGGGTTTGCTATTTTTGAATGTTTTTTGGAAAAATTGGGTCGTATGTGTTGATTTTGGCCAAATTTTGGAGTTTCTTCGCTTCGATCTGCACCAGATAGGTGCGTTTTGGACTTGGGTAGATCCTGTGTGCTAGTAATTTTTTAGTGGTGTGGACTTGATTTTGGTGCTTGTGGGTGTTTTGGCTGTGGCCTGTAGGAGGCTGTCCAGGATTCAGTTTCTGCTACAGTTTGTTGTTTCTTCTTGTTTGGCTTTCTGGTTGATCTGTGGTGTGCTTTCAGCCAGTGTGTTGCTTTCCAGCTTGAGTTGTTTTGCAAATTGCTTCCTTTGGAGTAGTTTTTCGTGGCTTGTTGAACTCGTTGGTGTCTCATCCTACTGTTTTTGTTTTAGTGGCTACACACTGGTGGTTTGTTGCTTGGATCAGGCTTTTTGGGTACCAATTTGAGTATGAGAAGAAGCCCTTGTACTGCCCAGTTTTCTAGGGTTGTTTTAGACCCTCTTTTGTGCACCCTGGTGGTACTCCAGCTTGCTATTTCAAGGGATGAAGAGTGAAGAACAGTTCGGGCCTCTGTTTTAATTATTATTATTATTCTTATTAATTTGTGGGTTGTACTTGAGTTTGTTTGTGGTTCAATTTGGCCATATTTTGTGTGATTGGCAGATTATCAGGTTGATTGTGGAATTTGTTGGTTTGACCCTACATAATTCTTTATGGGTTCTCCATGACGAGTTTGAGTGGAGAATATGGTGGTAGTTCTGGCCGTTATTATCATTCTGTGTAGAACTGTACTTATTGTGGTAGTGGGGACTTATTGAAGATTGGTGTTGGGCCAATTATGGGAGACCCAAATATGCTAATCACATTCTTAAGGATACTTTGGGCTTTTTGGTACATCAGACAACCTCTAATGATCTAGTGACATCTTGTACTGATTCTCATGATGATCTTTCTTCCCAGCTTCATCAGCAAATCCAACAATTATCTTTACTTTCTCCACATTATCTATTCATACTACTGGTCTTGCTAATGAAGGCAACTCTGCATGTGTGGTTGCCTAACTTTCTTCGTCATCTTGGATCATTGATTCAGGAGCTAGTGCTCATATGTTTGGTAATTTTTTCTTGTTCTCTAATTTTTGTTCGTCTAACTCACGTATTGTATTTGTTGATGGCTCATTTCGGTCAATACATGGGACTAGCGAACTTTGACTTACTCAATCTTTACTCTTTGTTAAGAGTATTAGGCTATTATGTGTAAATATTAGAGGGTATATACGTTTTTTATATTATTACAAGTTTAATATAAATACAAGTGGTTTGTGAGAGGTAGGTTAAGATTTGTCTACTCTCCGTTTCTCTCTAATGTTGTGTTAATTCTCTTAACTTAATATAGTATAAGAGCAAAACGATTCTAAATACAAATATTAACCCTAGTTGTCAGGTGTGGCTATTGTTGAAGTCCTCGGGGTGGGGTGTTATCGCTGTTGTTCGTAGTTGTGTGGTGACCCATCGTTGTGGTGGTGTGGTGTTGCTGTCGCAGTCCCTCATTGTGGTGGTTGGTGGTAGTTGCTGGTTGGGTGTGAGGCGCCGTCGATGTTGGTGGTTTCTGGTTCTCCTTCGTGGTGGTGTGCCTATTGGTCATCGACATTGATGACTTCTGTGGTGGTGTAGCCACTTGTTGTTTCTTAGCGCCGTCAACTGGTGTGGCCGTTGGTTATTCTCTTGGCATCGTCGACATTGAAGGAAGAAGTTGAGTTTGGTTGAAACCCTAATTAGTAAAGAAGATGATCCACGATAACTAGGTTCGTTGTAGGTTTGGGTAATAGATCCAAGTCCACGGGCTTAAACTATTCTCATGCCCAAATCTAGATCCAGGTCCAGATCTAGATCCCGATCTAGGTCCAGGTCCAGGAGATTTAACCCAGATCCAGTAGCCTTCAAACTAGACCGGTCCAAGTCTAGTTCAACCCTGGTTCAGTGTGGGTGAGTCAGCTTTGCACCAGTTCAGACCCAGTTCAATGAGTTTGCATCGGTTCAGTCCCAGTTCAGTCAGTTTTACACTGGTTCCATCTATTTTTTCTTCGGTTCAGCGGTTAGCAGACTTCTCTTGTCTGTTTCAATAGTCCAACGAGCTCTCCTTGTCTGGTTCAGCTGTCCAATGACATCCCCTTGTCCGGTTCAGCAGTTCAGCATCGGACCCTTGCTTGGTTCAGCTGTCTAGTAAGTCCTTTTTACTATTTGCCACACTATTATAGAACCCAAGCATGATGCTACCGCTCTTACTCTATCATTGCCACCTATCTCTGTTTCCGCGGTTCTCCTTAATAGTCCCATGACTTCTGTTAAGCCTAACGAGACCAATTATATTTTATGGTTACGATCTGTTCAAGTCTTTATTATTGGCAAAGGATTTAAGAAATATTTGGTGAATTCTAAATTCAAGGAGGATACTTCTGGGTATGATCAGTGGGAATAAAAGGATGCTCAGATTATCTTTTTATTGTTGAATAGTATTGAGCCCAGTATTAGCTCTATTCTGCTCTATCTTGATACTACCAAAGACATATGAGATCATTTGTCCACTCTGTATTTGGGTATAGGTAATTTTACTAGTGCTTATGAGGTGTGCAAATGGTATTTCTGCTTGGAGCAGGGTATTCTGAGTCTGGAGGATTATTACTTTTACGTTCGAGGAGTTTGTGAGGAGTTGAAGCTCTATCATCCGTTTACTACTAATGTAGCGGTTTGACAAAAGTAACATGAGAATTTGAACGTTGTTCGATTTTTGGTAGGTTTGAAACCTGAATATGAGTCTATTCATTCTCAGATTTTTGGTAGCTCTAGTCTTCTTTTTCTACTTGAGTTTTTTCCCATTTACGACGTGCTACTTTGTCTACTAGTCATTCAGGCATTGATCATGGTATTTCCATTGACTGTTCAGCTTTTGTGGTTCCTAGTAGTCACAATGATGGTCATCGAAGTGGACATGGTAATCGTGCAGGTCAGGGAGGTCATATTGAAAGTCGTGGGGGCCGTAGTGAATCTCGTTCCTGTATTCACAGTGGTCTTGGAGGGCACACTGTTGATTTTTTGTTGGGATTTACAAGAAAAGCCATCTAGTGTTGTTAAGCAGGTCTCTTATCTGGATGGCACATTGGGTGTTGCTTTTATACCTCGGTCAGCACCACATGATTTTGGATCAGTTACTATTACAATAGAGGAGTATGCCTAGTTCCTATCTTAGCAATAGACTATTCCATCTTCCTCCACTTGCTACTTTTGCCTAGTCAGTTACCTCTCTCACTTATTTATTGTTCTCTACTCGTAATCTTTGGATCATAGACTCTGGTGCTTTTAACCATATGACTGGTGCGTCTAATATCTTTTTTACTTATCAGTTAGTTATTTCCACACACAGTGTTACTCTTGTTAATAGTACTTGTTCTAAAGTTTCAGGTTTAGGGACTACTCACTTGAGTCCTGATATATCCCTATTCTTCGTGTTATTTATTTCTCAGTTTTTTTTTAGTTTACCTTCCATTAGCAAGATTACCCGTTCCCTTAATTGTTCCGTAATCTTTTATCTCTCTTATTGTGTATTTTATGATCTTAAGACGAAGAGAAAGATTATTACGGGGTATAAAGTTGGTGGCCTATATTACTTTGACTTTGATTTACTTACTTGGGTTCTAGAGACTTATTTGTCTCTTTTTCAATAACACTGTCCTCTTAGACATTCCTCTCTCCAGAATCTGAATCGCTAAGTTACCAGTCGTAGTTATGTGTCGTCTGTGTCTGGTGAAGCATGTCAACTTAATAAGTATCACTATGTGTCCTTTCAGCCTAGAGTCAATAATCGCGTGTCTAATCCATTTGAATTGGTACATTATGACGTGTGGGCTCTAATAAAGAATATTTCATCTAATAAATATCCTTATTTTATATCATTTGTGGATGATTATTCTCGTGTGACTTGGTTGTTTCTTATGAAATCTCTTTTTGAATTATGTTCTATATTTGAGGTCTTTTGTAAGAAAATAAAAGTTAGTATGGTTGTCGTATACATATTTTATGTTCTGATAATATTCGGGAATATGAATCTGATCATTTTCTAACTTATCTTAATAAAACTGATATTATTTATCAGATTTCCTATGCTTACACCTCTTCGCAGAATGGTGTTGTTGAACGCAAGATCTGTCATTTGTTAGAAGTCACCCGTGTACTGTTATTTCAGATAAATGTTCCTTGATGTTTTTAGAGTGATGCTATTCTCACTGCTTGTCATCTTATTAATTGTATGCCATCCTCTGTGTTCAAGGAGCAAAGTCTATATTCTATCATTTTTTCTAGTAAGCCCATATTTTCCTTAACTTATAGGGTTTTTAGGTGTGTCTGTTATGTTCATAACTCGAGCTCTGAGTTTGATAAACTTGACCCTCGGGCTATCAAATATGTATTTCTTGGATACTCCCGTACACAGAAGGGGTATTGTTACTATAGTCCTTCTCTTTGTCGATACTTTACTAGTTCTGATGTCATGTTTGAAGAATCTGTTCTATATTTTCTGATACCTACTCAGCCTTTGGATCTGGACTTTAGATCGTCTCCTATACCGCCACCTCTTATCTCACCGTCAGATATTCCTCTACTTACTGTGCTACCATCTGCTTCACCACTTTGTATATTCTCTTGTCGTCCTTGACCATCTACTGATATGTACGGACTGTCTTCCTTGCCGTCTCGTGATCCTGGTCCATCAGGTAATTTAGACTCTTTACCTATTGCTCTTCGAAAAAGTACTCGTTCATGTGTTACTAATCATCTCATTGCTTATTTTGTTTCATATAATGTCTTATCTCCTGTCTTCTCTTATTTTACCTCTTAATTATCTATTGTCTCTATCCTTAAGCACTTATAGGATGCGTTGTCTAATCCAGGTTAGAGGAAAGTTATGGAGGAAATGGATGCTTAACATCATAATAGGATTTGAGATCTTGTTTCTTTATCTCTTGGTAAACGAATTGTTGGTTGTCGTTGGGTGTATATTGCTAAATTTAATCCGAATGGTTTTATGGAGCGTCTAAAAGCCCGTTTTGTTGTCAAAATCTTTTTTGTTTGTATCTTGATTTCTTTGACTGCTAATTTTGATTGGCCCGTTTTAGTTAGATGTGAAGAATGCTTTCCTACATGGTGACTTAGTTGAAGAGGTATACATGGAGTAACCACTTGGGTTTATTGCTCAGGCGGAGTACGGTAATAATGTATGTCAGTTAAAGAAATCTTTGTATGGTTTACAACAATCACCGAGGGCATGGTTTGATAAGTTTTTAGATGCAATTTTAGAGTTTGAGCTTCTTCGATGTTAAACTGACCATTCAGTGCTTTATAGACAAACAGATGTCGGATATGTTTTATTAGCGGTTTATGTAGATGATATTGTGATTACTAAAAATAATTCTGAGGGAATTATTAAATTAAAAGCCTTCTTGCAAGACCGATTTCATACTAAGGATTTAGAAAAATTTAAATATTTTTTGGGTATTGAGGTGGCTCAATCTAAACAGGGTATTTGTTTGTCCCAGACTAGAAAGCACGAACACTTCATTTTGGGCAAGTGTCGGTGTCGGACACGTCTGGGACACGGACACGCTTCGGACATGCTTAGATACGTGCAAGACATGTTAAAATGAGTATCTGATTTTTTTATTGTTAAATTATTTGTAGGACACGTTGGGGACACGCGGCCGACACGTCCATGATATGTTGGGACACGTTTTGAGATTTATTTTCAATTGTTTGAGAAATTTTCAAATAATTTTATAATTAAGAGTTATTTTTACAATTTTAAACAGATATGAGTCACAATCATAATATAAAAAAAGTTATAATCATTACATTGAACATAGGACATTAATTTAACATAATTTTGGATACGAATATGGACTTATATACAAATGGAATAGTCTTTTAATACGAAAATAATGTAAAAAAAAATTAGATTACAAAATTAGAGCTCTTGGAATTTGATGAAAATTAGTATAACAAAATGAAATATTTTTTTAAGTAAAAGTTATAGAAGTCATTGATTATTGAATCATGGATGTCAATGTTGAATGTGTATCAATATATCTTATATTGTACTTTTTATATAGTGATATCATGATGTCAATTTTTAGAATTAAGAAAATAATGAATTAAAAGATTGTTATGATAATATTTTTATTTTATCACATGATTTTATATTAATATATGTATAAAATACATATTATTTAATATATCGTTAATGTGTCTATCTCCAACTTTTTTGAAAAATTGTGTCAACGTGTCCGTGTTGTGTCGTATCTGTATCTCGTATCTGTGTTCGTGCTTCTTAGATCCTAGAGGAAACATGTACTTTGACATACTAGAGGAAGTAGGTTTGTTGGGTGGCAGACCAATTGATGTTCCTATGGATTTGAATTAGAAATTGTTAATGGATGATGGTTCATTGTTTGAGAATCCAGATTGGTATCGCAAGTTCGTTGGGAAGTTCAATTATCTCACTATTACTCGATCAGATATTTTCTATGTAATTAGTATAGTAAGTCAGTTTATGGGATGTTCTAGAGTACTACATTGGGAGGCAGTTCCTCGTATTCTGCGATATCTCAAATGTGCTTCTGGCCTTGGGTTGTTATAGCGAGTTAATTGACATCTTAGAGTTGAAGGTTTCTCAGATGCTGATTGGCCTGACTCTCTTTCTCATTGGAGATCAACCACTGGTTATTGTACTTTCTTAGGAGGTAATGTTGTCTCACGAAAAAGTAAGAAACAACTTGTGGTAGCGAGATCCAGTGTTGAGGTTAAGTATAGGACAATGGAGCATACAACGAGTGAGTTGACGTGGTTACTACATTTTCTCCAAAAATTAGATTTTTAGTTCAACCTTCTTTACAGTTATTCTGTGATAATCAGGAATCTATCCATATCATTGCCAATCTAATATTTCACGAGAGAACCAAACTTATTGAAGTTGACTATCATTTTATTCAGATAAGATAGTAGCTGAAGAGATTACGATTCCATTTGTGAAATCTGAAGATCTACTTGCAGATATGTTTACCAAAGTATTGAATCGTACACGTCTTATAGTAATTTGTTCTAAGTTTGAATTATATGATATATATAGTCCAATTTGAGAGGGAGTGTTAAAAGTATTAGGGTATTATGTGTAAATATTAGAGGGTATATACGTATTTTGTATTATTACAAGTTAACTATAAATACAAGTGGTTTGTGAGAGATAGGTTAAGTTTTGACCATTCTCAATTTCTCTCTAATATTGTGTTAATTCTCTCAACTTAACACTCTTAACCAATGATTTGTTTGTTCGTAATTTTTGTTTTAACTTGTTATTTGTAAGTCAACTCAAATAAGCGTTTAGCGCATGACCGAAAGGAATGACGAAAACGGACTCATATAGTCGACTCAAAATGATTGGGACATAAAGCTTGGTTTGATGTGATTATCTGTGAGTCAGCTCGCTAAGTCATTACATTGTTCAGTAACATCCTCTCCATCCTCTTGTGTTTTTAATGATCTCAAGACAAAGAAAGTTATTGATATGGGGTATGAGCACATGGCTTGTATTACTTAGATTCGGATGGTTTTGTTCTTGCCAGAGGTGCTACTATGTCTGCTCTTCAGCGGCACTTCTGAAGAGATTATCCCTCTGTGCAAAAGTTGTGATAAGTTATCCCTAGTTTGAGTTCTCTTCTTTGTTAGAATCTAAGGATTGTCAATTAGGCAAGCATAACCGTAGTTCTTTTCCTCCTAGATCTTCAAGTCGTTAGTCGAGTCCATTTCATGTGGTTCATGTAGATATTTAGGGTCCTTTAAGAGTTAAAAGTATTTATGGATTTCAGTATTTTGTGATATTTGTTGATGATTTCTTGTATGATGTTATTTCTTATGAAAGATTGTTCTCAATTGCCTAAGGTCTTTACCACATTTTATAATGAAATTTTAACTTAGTTTGATGCTCATATTAAAGTTTTTAGGTCTGACAATGCCCATGCCCTTAAGTACACTCAATTATTTTGAAAATCTTTCGTATCGACCGTGACATTATCTATCAAACTAACATGTCCTTGTATCTTCCAACAAAATAGTGTTGCCAAACGTAAACATCGTCATTTGCTGGATATTGCCCACACATTGATAATTAACATGCATGTGCC